TCTAACCGCCTCCCACTCTCTCCCTATTTATTTCAGAACCCCCTTCCCCTCCCCCTTTTCTGATGAAGGGTCTAGGCCCGAAACGTCAGCCTCTCTGCCCCTATGATGCTGCTTGGCCTGCTGTGTTCATCCAGCCCTGAACCTTGATTTATGTTATTTAAGATAAGATCTTTCCAAATTGTCATGTACCTGGCTTTATTTTTTTCCCTATTCTTTTGTGTAATAGATCTGTTCCTTGTTGCAAGTACATTGAACATATTCACAGGAGTCTCTCAATAGCTGACAACTTCAGTAACCAAACTGCAAAAACTTACGCTCTATTAAGCTAGGTTTCACTCTAGAATCTGGCATGTCCAGTATTACTGTCATCTTGGATCATAACACTATTATAGATTTTAATCTTCCATTACATAAACCTTTTCTTATTATGATGTGTGGCTGAGAGCCCAAACCAACAAACATGGGTTAAGCTAGGATTCTGTTCAGTGAAGTGAATTGTCGATTTTGCTTGAGATCTTGAAGTGACTATTGCAAGTTATCGCTTTTGTTGATGCTTCAGTTATTATCTGAACAAGATTATAAAGCATGCAGTGTTTAAATTTTCTGTTATTTAATTAATATACTTTAATGGTCTTTCAGATTGTCATTTTTAGCAAGGGGGGAGGAGTTTCTTTCCCACCAAGATTTATTTATTTCCTGTAAGTAGTTGTACATTTGCCATTGTTATTATACAGCTCATAGGTGCTGTATTGGATGAATAGGTCTGGAAAAGGCAGGAGTTGCAATGGTTTGACATGGATAGTATGAGGAGCCATGGGGTATGTGACAGGCATGAGTTGGCATGGTCAGTACAGGTTCACGGCAAGTGACTGAGATGCATTAGTTGGCATTGAGTGAAAGACAAAATGCGAGGCAACTATCAACAACTTTTATCCTCCATTGACAAAATCTGGGGGCACTGCAAATATGAGGCAGAAGTTCCAGGCTTCCCAATGTGGTAAGTAATGTTCAAAGGTTGAGAGGATCAGGCTCAGTTCATTCTGGGATAATATGTAAAGTGGTTGCAGAATAAACAGGTTTTATATTTTTTAATCTTCATTATGCAATAGAGACTGGAGTCTTAAACAATATTTGGCACATTTAAAAAATAAAAGCATTTTGTGATTTTCTATTCCTAGATGTGGGTCTTTTTCTGCAAGTAAAAGAGTGGTCATTTAAGACAACATGAACGAAAGCAGTCATCGCTAAACCTGAAGGTCACATGAAACAAAACCATCAATCAGATTGTTATTATCAGAATATATAAAAATCTGTGGTCACAAGCAAGGGTGGAATTTAATGCCTATCTCCCCATTTTGGTTTAGTGGTGGATGAGTGGAATGTTTACCGGGCATTTAGCTTGGAGAAGCAATCGGGAAACAACAGTAATAGCCGGGAAGCAGGCAGGAACACAGTAACCAGTAAACTGTTACACACTGTAGATGGAACACAGAGAGAAACTTCAGAGTGGCTTCTCCTATTGACGTCATCACTTACGGAAGTGAGAGGGGCTCCGGATTGGCGAGTACTGGTCACCTGACAATTATTGGTTAACCCTTTCTTATCCCAACAGATTTAGAGCAGTGAGAATTTAAGTTATACACGCATTTTGATGATAGAGGAGTAGAAAATCTACCGTCTGGTGAGGATTAATACTGTTGGTAAAGCTAGGTGTACCTAATTAACTCAGACTTTATAAGCTTCAAAGCCTTGCAGTTTTAGAATAGTGGGAACTTAGTTTACAGAGAACCAGGGTAGAAAATATTTAGTATTTTCTGTTAGTGGGATACTATCAGTGTGAAGTTTAATGAGAAATTCGCTCAAGTGACCACCTAATTAATTAGAACCAAATAAAACAAATGGGGTGGTTACATATTGACTTCTCTTGATTAAACAATAACTAGAATGTAAAAATGGCAGTCGGGGGCATCAGGTGCTCTATCTGTGATATGTGGCAACTCCGGTAGAGTTCAACTGTCCCGGATGGTTTCATTTTGCAAAAAATTTTTTACAGCTGCAGGTTTTAACAGATCACTTAGATCAACTGGAGCAGCAGGTGGACACAATTAAGAACATGCAGGAGGTCAAAAGGGTCGTAGAAAGGCGTTTCAGGGAGGTGGCCGCACCGAAGGTTGAGGTAAATAGATGGGTGATAGTCAGTGCAGAAATCCCCTGTGGCTGTCCCCCTCTCGTACAGGTATACCATTTTAGGCACTGTTTGGGGGAATAGCCTATCAGAGGATGACAACAGCAGTAGCCAGAACCTGCTCTGTGATACAGCAGGGCATGCCAAAGTGCAGGTGGTAGTCCGGGACTCAATAGTTAACGGTACAGACAGGTATTTCTCTTGCCACAAATGAGATTCCAGGATGGTGAGGTGCCTCCCTTGTGATCTCGTGATTATTGCCCATGCCATGTAGCAGTGAGACAAGGAACAGGAAGATAGTACAGCTTAGTGCATGGCTAAAGAGCTGGTGCAGGAGGGAAGGGTTTCAGATTTTTGGATTCTTGGGATCTCTTCCAAAGCAGGTGGGACCTGTACAAAATGGATGGGTTGCATTTTAACTAGATAGGCACCAGCATCCTGGCAAGGAAGTTTGCTAGTGCAACTTGGGTGGATTTAAATTAATCAGACAGAGGAGTGAGAACCAAAGCCAACAGGTCACAAAGTGAGCAGAAGATAGAGGTTAATAGTACAAACAGGCAGGGCCATTCTAACGACCATGGTGAGGGAAGGAATCATAAAAGATCAAAATGTGAGTTGAACTTTGGAGTAAATGATAAAGATGAGGATTAATAAGTAAGGATGAAGAGTGTGGAAAGCGTAATGCACAAGAAATTATTAAAAGAGAAAGACAAATCAATGGAACTTATTTAAAAACTTTGTACCTAAACGCACACAGTATTTGGAATAAAGTCAGTGAACTGACAGCACAAATAGAGACAAGTGGGTGCAACCTGGTGGACATTACTGAAATGTGGACTGGGAGTTAAATGTCCAAGGGTACTCAGTATTCTGAAAGGATAGACAAGAAGCAGCAGAATGTGGAGTTGCTTCATTAGTTAAGGATGACGTCAAGGCTGTATTAAGAAATGATACTGGCACTAGGGACCAAAATGTTGAATCCCTATAGGTAGAAATAAAAAGAAAAGGAAGAAACCCCTTGGTAAGAATAATTTTCAAGCCCCTGAAAAGTACTTCTGAAGTTGGACACAATATAAACCAGGAAATAATGAGGGCTTGTGAGAAAGGCACAACAGTAATTATGGGTAATTTGAACATGCATATTGACTAGATTAATCAACTTGGCAAGGGTAGCCTCGAAGAAAGGCCCATAGAGTGTATGAAAAATTGTTTCTAAGAGCGATATGTCATGGAGCTAACCAGAGAACTGGCTACTTTACATTTGGTATTATGTAATGAAGAAGGATTGATAAATGGTCTTGTCATTAAGAATCCTCTTGGAAGGAGTGACCACAACATACTAGAATTTCAAATTCAGATTGAAAGAGTTAAGACAAAATCGCATATGAGTTTTAGTATTAGGAATACTTAATTATACAGGCCTGAGGAATGAGTTAGCCCAAATGGACTGGGCAAAAATATTAAAGGGCAGGACTGTTGAAGTGCAATGGCAAACGCTTAGGGAGATACTAAATACCTTTCAACTAAAGTATATTCCTGAGAGGAAGAGGAATTATGAAAAGGTGAAAAGTCATCCATGGCTTAACAAGGACATCAAGGATAACATAAAGGCAAACACTAGGGCATATCATACTGCAAAAGTTCGTGGCACTGTAGAGGATTGGGAGAGCTTTAAACGTCAGCAAAGAGTTACTAAAGAAAAATCAAAAGAGCTAATATGAACTACAAAAGGAAACTAGCAGAAAACATAAGCAATGATACAAAAAGCTTCTATAAGTATATAAAACGGAAGAGAACAGTGAAAGTTAATGTTGGCCCTTTACAGATGAAAATGGTGAGGCAATAATGGGAATCTCAGAAATGACAGAGGCACTAAACCAATGTTTTGTCTCTGTTTTCATTCTGGATGATGATAATTTCTTCCCAAAAATTGCAGTTACTACAGAGGAACTTGGTGAAATTACTATAACTAGGGAGAAGGTATCAAGTAAACTGGTGAGATTAAAGGCAGGTAAGTCCCTGGGGCCTGATGGCCTGCATCCCAGGGTATTAAAGCAGGTGGCAGCAGAGATAGTGGATGCATTGGGTACGATTTTCCAAAATTCCCTGGATTCTGGAAAGGTACCAGTGGATTGGAAACATGTTAATGTGACACCCTTATTCAAAAAAGGAAATAGGCAAAAAGTTTGATCTCTGTATTGGGAAAGTTGCTGGAGTTGATCATAAAGGAAGAGATAACTTGGAAAAACAAAACTCGATTCACCAGTGTCAGCATGGTTTCATGAAGGGCATGTCATGATTGACAAACCTGCTGGAGTTCTTTCAGGATGTAACCAGCAAGGTAGACAACGGGAATCTGGTGGATGTGGTATATCTAAACTTCCAGAAGGTATTTGACAAGGTGTCGCATGAAAGACTGATCCAGAAGATTAGATCCCAGGGGGTTAAGGATAGAGTATTGGCTTAGATAGAGGATTGGCTGACTGACGGAAAGCACAGGCTCGGGATAAATGGGTCCTATAACTGGTGGGGTGCCATAGAGTTCAGTTTTTAAGACCTCAGCTATTTACAATCTATGTAAATGATCTGCTATCAGGGACAAAAATGTAACTTTGCAAAATTCACAGATGATTCTAAAATAGGCGGGAAAGCAGGATGTGATGAGAAGGTAAAGTGTTTACTCATGGATATTGTAGGAGAATGAGCAGAACCTGGCAGGTGAAGTTCAATGTGAATAAGTGCAAGGTTATCCATTTTGGCCAGAAAAACAAAAGGGCAAATTATTATTTAAATGGGAAGTAGATTCAAAGTGTGTCAGTGCAGGGGGATCTGGGAATCTTTGTACATGAATTGTAGAAAGTGGGTATACAGGCACGGCATATAATAAGTAAGGCAAACGGAATCCCTGGCATTTATAGCAAAAGGACTGGATTATAAAAGTACAGAAGTGTTGTTAGGCACTGGTGAGACCACACCTGGAGTATTATACCCAGTTTGGGTCTTCTTATTTGAGGAAGAATGTGGTGGCATGGAAGACAGTTCAGAGGAGGTTTACCAGGTTGATCCCAGGGAAGAAAGGACTGTTGTATAAGGAGTGGTGAATAGCTTGTGCTTGTACTCATTGGAGTTCAGGAGGATGAGGGGGGATCTGACTGAGGTATATAAAATGGTAAAGAGGATTGGTAAGATGGATGTTGAACAGATGTTCCCCTCTTGTGGGACAGTCTCAAACAAGATATCGAATGAGAGGAGGTGGGTTCAAGACTGAGATGCGGACAAACTTTTTCTCTCAGAGGATTGAGAGTCTGTGGCACTCACTGCCTGAAAGTGCAGTGGAGGCAAAATCAATCAACAGATTGAAGAGAGAAATAGTTACGTTTCTGATGAAAAGCGGGATAAAGGGCAATGGGAGCAGGCAGGAAACTAGAGTTGATTCCAGAATAAGATCAGCCATGATCATGTTAAATAGTGGAGTTAGGCTTGAAGGGCTGAATTGCTTACTCCTGCTCCTAATTTCTATATTGTCGGATAATCAGCTGAGCAAGTAAAGATCTTGTAGCGTTCCCATCTCCAGCTCGCTTAAGTGTTTGGGGGAAGGCATTTGGATGGCCTTCCTGATTGGACCCACCAGTTGAGGACCTTAAATGCATCAATGAGATCTACATCACACCATTAAGGTCAACATGCAGGGGAGTGTGACAAGCAAACCTGGGCTCTTGTGGAAGTCCCACATTCAAAGGCATTCAATGTCTGATCAAGGGATTCAAGCTTGGGAGATGGAATCCTGCTGAAAGCCTGTCCCTGACCTTGCTGCTGATGCGTTTCTGTGCAATAGCCGTCTGTTCACCCCTACATTTGACATTACTCATGTACGGCCTAGGATCCAGCCCAATGGTTGGCCTCAGGTGGGTGTCAGACTGGTAACAGCCACTGCCTCTCCATGGTGCTGCCATTCGATAAAGCAGTCGGTCTGTGATTGGCTGAAAGCCAGATTTCTGTTTGTAGGTGCTTCATCCAGCTAAGGCTTGGCGCTGCTCAGTTAAATACTTAGGTGGTACTTAATGCAGTGGGACTTCTGTAAAAAAGATGCAGGGAGTGTCACTGGTTCTCCAGCCAGTGGGCAAGATCCCCATCACGTCCATTAAATACTGCCCAAAATGTGGTTACAAAAATAAAATTTACTAGAAAGCTTTATCTGGAATTGAACTTAAATACTATTTAAAAACGCATTATAAATGAAGGAGTCAACAAAATTTTATAGCACCATTCATCTCTATTCACTGAAGATATACGTTTTCTTAAAATACAGCCCAAAAATGTCTTTGCCGTCATTTTGAATACTTTAGTGCAACATTGTTATCAAGTTCTAATAATTGGTGCTAACTTACTTCAGAAGACCAAAAATGAATGCATTAAATCTTGTGCTGCGGCTCGTTAATTCAGAACACTGACTTATCTTGCAAAAAAGGTTGTTAAGTGCCTTGGTAGAAGGACCTGAAATGAAAACAAGAAAGTATCAAAACAGTAATCATAGACAACACATTTTATTTTGCATGTACTCTTTGAAATTTTTGGACGAGCCTGGGTGGTGAATTGAGTTAGAACATTGCTCCTTCTGCTTGAGGATCTTGAATTTAAACAAATTAAGCAATCTCAGTCCCTCTTCTTTGACATTTGTTAAAGGTTCTGAATAAAATTCATTTCACTGGCAGTCTTTCTCCACCTTTTGAACAATTGAAGAACAAGCATAAGATTTTAAGAATTTAGTATTAATTTAGGCACTCACTGTTCACAAGTATGTTGTTGCATTGATTAAACAAGAATGTTTTCCCTAATTTGTGGTTGAGCACACTAAACCGAACTGTATAACTACACTAGGTGTAGAGCTGGATGAACACAGCAGGCCAAGCAGCATCAGAGGAGCAGGAAGGCTGACATTTCGGGCCTAGACCCTTCTTCAGAAATGGGGGAGGGGAAGGGGGTTCTGAAATAAATAGGGACAGATGGGGAGGCAGATAGAAGATGGATAGAGGAGAAGAGACAGACCGGTCAAAGAGGCGGGGATGGAGCCAGTAAAGGTGAGTGTAGGTGGGGAGGTAGGGAGGAGATAGGTCAGTCCAGGGAGGACGGACAGGTCAAGGGGGCAGGATGAGGTTAGTAGGTAGGAGATGGGGGTGGGGCTTGAGGTGGGAGGAGGGGATAGGTGGGAGGAAGGACAGGTTAGGGAGGCGGGGACGAGCTGGGCTGGTTTTGGGATGCGATAGCGGGAGGGGAGATTTTGAAGCTTGTGAAGTCCACATTGATACCATTGGGCTGCAGGGTTCCCAAGCGGAATAGGAGTTGCTGTTCCTGCAACCTTCGGGTAGCATCGTTGTGGCACTGCAAGAGGTCCAGGATGGACAGTCGTCTGCGGAATGGGAGGGGGAGTTGAAATGGTTCGCGACTGGGAGGTGCAGTTGTTTAGTGCGAACCGAGCGTAGGTGTTCTGCAAAGCGGTCCCCTAGCCTCCGCTTGGTTTCCCCGATGTAGAGGAGGCCACAACGGGAACAGCGGATGCAGTATACCACATTAGCAGATGTGCAGGTGACCATCTGCTTGATGTGGAAAATCTTCTTGGGTCCTGGGATGGGGGTGAGGGGGGAGGTGTAGGGGCAGGTGTAGCACTTCCTGCGGTTACAGGGAAAAGTGCTGGGTGAGTTGGGGCTGGAGGGGAGTGTGGAGCGGACAAGGGAGTCCCGGAGAGAGTGGTCCGTCCGGAAAGCAGATAAGGGTGGGGAGGGAAAAATGTCTTTCGCAGGGTCTCGGCCCGAAACGTCAGCCTTCCTGCTCCTCCGATGCTGCTTGGCCTGCTGTGTTCATCCAGCTCTACACCTTGTTATCTCAGATTCTCCAGCATCTGCAGTTCCTACTATCTCTGTATAACTACACTGATGCTTTATTAATTTTCTTAGGCATATGGTTAAGTATTAAAATGACACTATTGCCATTCTGTGAATAAGTTTGAGGGACAATGTATTAAAAGGCAGTAACGTATAGGCTCTACTTTCTGGAAAAAAAATTATCATGCATGAGCCAGAGGTTTCCTGGAGTTGGCACATGCGGCAAAAGGAAAAGCAAACAGGCAATTGGAAAGTGAGAAAATTAAACAGCTGGGGAAAATAATCACTGCAAGATAAGTTTCTTAATTAATTAAGTTGTAATTAAAATGGGAATTTGATATGTCTGCCAGAAAAAGGCATTCATTGTGAAAACTTGAAGAATGAAAATGTTATTAAATATACTATTAAGTCCTGGGACATCAGGGTTTGCTGCCAGCAGAACTGTCCCTGCCATGATGTATATCTGAGAAACAGAAAGGCGTCAAGGAGAAAATCGTGAAGGAAGGTGATGATACGGTGATAATGGAGGGAACAACCTTTTAGTTACCTTTTAGTGCAGAAAATTATATCTGGAGATATAGCTAATTGTTGGGCAGTTGGATTTTTTAGTTTCTGTTCCAGATTATTGCAAATTCTTTGATATTCACTTCTTGCATTTATATTAAGTTGGGTGAATCCACACTCTCCTCACATGCCACAAAGTGGTTTTTCTCCTTTAATTGCATCAGTCTATTTCATACATGTGGAAGAACTAGTCACAAATAATTTTAAACAAAGAAACCTTTGCACTTATATAGTGCATTACTGTACTGTATCCAAGAAATATCTTGAAGGACTTCAAATAAGACTAGTTATAGAGTCACAGAGCATGGATACAGACCCTTTGGTCCAACAATTTCACCAACCGTGTTCCCAAACTAAACTAGTCCTACCTGCCTGCGTTTAGTCCATATCCCTCCAAACTTTTCCTATTCATGTACTTATCCAAATGTCATTTAAATGTTCAAACTGTACCTGCATCCACCAATTCCTCTGGCTGTTCATTCTTCACACGAACTACTCTCTGTGTAAAAAAAGTTGTCCCCCGTGTCCTTTGTAAAACTTTCTTCTCTCACCTTAAAAATATGCCCCCTAGTTTTGAACTCCCCCACCCTAGGGAAAAGACCCTTGCTATTTGCCTTATCTACGCCCCTCATGATTCAAAGTGTAATGATTCTTTTTGTGTCAATGTAATCATAACAATTATTTTCTAGGGTTGATGTTGCAATATTGAGGTACTGCTAGAGAGAATATTGGAGGCGTCGTCTTCCAAATAAAATGCTAATGTGAAATCTCTGTTGGATGTAAATCCCTGGTGCACTAATCAATACTTATTGCTCAGTCAATATCCATCAAGCAGATTATCTGGTTGTAGAGACTAAAAGTAACTTCCCAGAAGCAGCGATAAATCAGGAGATAGAAGGGAGGAACTCAACAAAATTACAACACCAGTGAAGTAAGTGCTGAGTAAATTGTCGGAACTGTGGGATGACAAGTGTCTGGGAGCTGATGGACTTCATCTGAGAAGTGAAATAGTTGATGCATTGGTTTGATTTTTCAAAATTCCCTTGATTCTAGGACAGTCCCAGTAGATTGAAAGATAATTAAGGCAAATCCTTTATTCAAAAAGTGACGAGAGAGAGCAAGAAGGAAACTAAAGGCCAGTTAGCTTGACACCTGTCATAGGGAAAATGTTAGCAATTATTAAAATAAGTTATCATAGGTCACTTAAATATATTCAAGATAATCAAATTCTGCAGGGTTTTGAGAAAGGTAAATCATGTTTGGCCAGTCTATTGAAATTCTTTGAGGAGGTAACATGTGCTGTGGATAAAGGGGAACCAAAGTAAGTACTGTATATAGATATCCAGTCAACATTTGATAAAGTGCCACATCAAAGGTTACTAAGAAAAATAAAAGTCATGATTTAGGGGATAACATATTGGCATGGATAGAAGATTGCTTGGCTAACAGGAAACAGAGGATAAAAGGGTCCTATTCAGGTTGGGAAGAGAAAACAGGTGATGTGTCACAGGGATCGGTGTTGAGACTTCAACTGTTTACAATTTAGGTAATGACTTAGATGAAGAGACAGGAGATATGGTTACCAAATTTGCTCACAATCAAAAGACAGGTATAAAAGTAACATGTGAAGAGGACACAAGGAGACTACAGAAAAATACTGAGAAGTAAAGTAACAAAACTTGTGGTAAATGGGGTATAATGTGGGAAAATGATGTGATTGTCCATTTTGGCATGAAAATAAAAAAAGCATCTTATTTAAATGGTGAGAAATTGCAGAGCTCTGAGATTCAAGGGGATGTCCTTGTGTATATCGCAAAGGGAATTTAAAACAGAAGTAGGAGGTTATGCTTCACTAATACAGGTCACTGGGGAGACCGCAACACCAGTGCAGGATATAAATGTAGAAAGGGTTTATCAGATTAATATCTGGAATAGATATGTTGTCTTATGAGGAAAAGTTTGACAGACTAGTCTAGTTTCTACTGGAGTTTGGAAGAATTGGAGGCGACTTGATTGAAACAATAAAGTCCTGAAGGGTCTCAACAGGACAGATGTGGAAAGAATTTTCCTCTTATGGGATAATCTAAAACCAGGGTCACTGTTTAAAAAAAAATCAGGGAATGCTTAAAAGAGAGGTTAGGCAAAATGTTTTCTGTCAAAGGGTCATGAGACTGTGGAACTCTCTTACTGAAAAGTTGCTGGAATCAGAGTCCTTCAAATTTTTTAAGGCAGAGGTAGATCGTTTCTTGTTAATGAAGCAGTTGAAAGGTTACCAGAAGAGGCAGGGATCTGGATTTATGGTTACAATTAGATTGGCCATAATTTTCTTGAATGGGATAACAGGCTTGAGGGGCTGAATGGCCTACTCCTGTTCCTATTTGATCTGTTTGGACTCAGAGGCAGCATTCCTTTGGAGACTCAGAGGACCATTAGAGCTGTGTTACCATGGCCCTGAAAGGAGGCTGAGAGGAGTAAAGGCTATGTCCACAGTCACAGTGGACAATCTTGGGCCTGCCTGTTTGCCTTTTTGATCTCATGTAACACCATCCTCTTACAGAATTATCAATTCAACTAGTGCCAGCTTCTTATTTAAAAAAAGAAGCTTTTGTCATCACTCTTCACACACTTCGCCTAGTCCTTATCCTCTGCTAGTTCCTTCATTAAACTTGTCTGGCTCGCATTCCTTCACTAATATCTTCCTTAAAGTCTGCTTGTTAATTAGCTTCGATCACCCTTCCTAATAGGTTCTTCTTTGGCTTAGTGTCATTATTTCCTCACACTTCTGTGTGAGGCTTTTTTTAATATTAAGGGTAATATTTAAGAAAATGTTTTAATTGTACTAGTTTTTAAATTATCTGTCAAGAATAGGAATAAAATTGCTGAAGAATTGACTGCCATCTAGTGATATAATTAAACACAACTAAGTCAAGTATAGTCTGTATAAATGCACAACAAAGTTATCTTTACTTCATTCTCAATAGTTGACCAAAATTCTCTCCACACACATCAAACCAATGGAAAGTCGTGTGGGTGAGTTTTAACCCCAAATTACATTTGGTTTGGGAATGGAAAATTAAAAAACAGTAGGGGGGAGGACTTGGTGATGTATGGGGACTGGAAGCAGGAAAGACGAAGGGCAAAAGAATAGGAGACAAATGGAGAAACATGGTGAAAAAAAGGGTTGGGGAAAAGAGAAAAAAAATGAAAAGAGAGAAGAACAACCAAGGAATAGAACTAAAATTTAAAAAAACACTTTTCAGGGTTTTTTTAAAATACAGTTATCAGAATTTCATAACATAACATGAGAAAATATAACATTTTTGGTCCAAAGGTTTTGGTTCACCATCATAATTGAAAGTTCAGACCATCCAAGACATCACTAAATGCTAAGAGTAAAGTTGAGTAATAGATGTTATTGTATTCATGTAGCAGCTTCAGAGCTACCAATTTGTTTTACTTTACAAAAAGAGAAAATAATATTGCTAGTTGCCTAAATTATCAGTCTTGATCTCAATTTTAATTAGTATTGTTGGAAATCCTAATTAAATTGTGACTTGTAATCTGAGCATTGAGTATTTTAAGACTTTGTCTGGCTATTGGTGAAAGTGTGAAGTCATACCTAGCTGAGTAGAAGCCTCGATAACAATCCATGGCAAATTTTTCCTTTGTCCTATGATCATATCCGGAATGTATGCCTTCAACCCATCTTGAAGCACATTTTTCATTGCTGGGCACAAGTACTTGAGTATAAGATGGCCTACATTGGGACTGACTGTACTGTTCCCAAGTTTGGCCTGTAAAGAAAAATGCCACTTATCAGACTTCATATTTGTTATGGCAAAAAGCATTACTTTAAATCCATTTTCCTTCATTTTATTGCCAACACCAGTTGCACCTGTGTCATATAGTCATAGAGATGTATTGCATGGGAACAGATCCTTTGGTCCAACTCGTCCATGCTGACCAGATATCCTAAATTAATCCAGTCCCATTTGCCAGCATTTGGCCCACATCTCTCTAAACCCTTTCTATTCATTTATCCATCCAGATGCCTTTTAAATGTTGTCACTGTACCAAGCTCCACCAATGCCTCTGGCAGCTCATTCCATACTACCTTCTGCATGGAAAGATTGTTCCTTCGGCCCCTTTTAAAGCTCTTCCCTCTCACCTTAAACTTATGCCCTCTAATTTTAGACTCCTCCACCCCAGGGAAAAGACCTTGTCTACTTACCCTATCCGTTCCGCTCATGATTTTATAAACCTCTATAAGGTCACCCCTCAGCCTCTGATGCTCCAGGGAAAATAGACCCAGCCTATTCAGCCTCTCTCTATAATTCAAACACTCCAACACAGGCAACACCCTTGTAAATCTTTTCTGAATCCTTTCATGTTTCACAACATCCTTCCTATAGCAGGGAGACCAGAATTGCACACAGTGTGGCCTGACCAATGTCCTGTACAGCCACAATATGACCTCCCAAATCCTATTTTCAATGCACTGACCAGTAAAGGCAAGCAAACCAAATGCCTTCTTCACTATCCTATCTACCTGCGTCTCCACTTTCATGGAGCTATGAACCTGCACTCCAAGGTCTCCTTGTTCAGCAACACACTCCAGGACCTTACCAGTAAGTGTATAAGTCCTGCCCTGATTTGCCTTTCCAAAATGCAGCATGTCACATTTATCTAAATTAAACTCCATCTGCCACTCCTCGGTCTGATCAAGATCCCGTTGTACTCTGAGGTAATCTTCTTTGCTGTCCACTACACCTCCAATTTTGGTGTCATCTGCAAACTTACTAACCATACCTCCCATTTCACATGCAAATCATTTATATAAATGATGAAAAGCAGTGGATCCAGCACTGATCCTTGTGGCACACCACTGGTCACAGGCCTCCAGTCTGAAAAGCAACACTCCACCACCACTTTCTACCTTCGAGCCAGTTCTGTATCCAAATAGCTAGTTCTCCCAGTATTCCGTGTGATGTAACAATGCTAACCAGACTATCACCAGGAATCTTGTCTAACACCTTACCGAAGTCCATATAGATCACGTCCACTGCTCTGCCCTCATCAATCCTTTTAATTACTTCTTCAAAAAACTCAATCAAGTTAGTGAGGCACGATTTCCCACACACAAAGCCATGCATCCAGGGAACTCAGGGCCTGTCCTCAAAAACAAGGTAAATAATTTCTTATCGGAAAGAATTCTACTTTCTCCCTTTTAGCATTGATATTATGAAACATCAATGAATCACCGGAGACAGCATACTGAGACAGCAAAGTATGTGCAACTCATGTTGGAGAAGAGTTCAATGGCACTTGATTACAAATACATGTGCATACATTTAAGCAACAGTACTAAGAACATATTTTTCCTCTATTCATAATGCTGGAAGTGAAAATAATTTGATCTGTTCCTAGTATCCATAATTGTTACAAATACAAGGCAAGGAAAAACCAACTTTGGGCGTGTGAGGATAAAAATAGAGTTGCTAGTTTTAGATGATAGAACTTAGTTATAACTAATTACATTAAACACATTTTTAATTTTAAAAAAAAGCACACTATCCAAAAGGGAAATAAAAGAAAGCACTCTGTATTTTCCAAAACATACACGTAGCCTATATTTTTCACATGCATGAACACTTGTGACATGAAGGCACCCTAGCATGGCAAAATTTTCTGCTGGCTGTAGCTTCTGCTGTGCTTCCCAATAATAATGAAATTGTGTAGACAGTTTTCTTTCACTTCTACCTGCCAATACAAACATGGCTTAAGCGACACATTTTGAAGAGGAGCTGCTTAGCCATACATACTTATTTGGAGCCAAGTGTAGTGTTAAAGCAGTAATATTTATTTCTTCTTAGTATAGGCTTAACCCCAGTGTAACAAGCAAATTATCATAGTGGGGAATGGGACTCTGGGCAAACAAGGGAAGTATTTAATGCATCAGGGTTCTCTGTCTTTAATTCATTCATTAAATAGAATTTATTAGCTTGCTTTGCTTACACAACAAATATGACCACAGTCATAGATGATAAATAAGAGCAAGACTAGATCAGTCCATCTTTAGCCAACTTCTAAAAGATGATAATTGCTGCTGGTTATCGTCAAACGTAAAAGCATGCCAGAGAGGCTGTACATTTGAATGTCCTTGTACTCCAGGAGTTAGTTAAATTACTACAATGGAGATATTTGGAGATAAGATGGCACCTCTAGCAAATATCCTCCATTTGTCAAGATTCCTCATATCATCACTAATCTTCCAAGTTCACACATCGGAGTCTATCAAATCAAAACACAAATCAATTTTCCCGAAGACTCAAGAGTCCTACAACAAGGGACTCAGTGTTGCTGTCAAAATTAGGAGATAGCACATGCAAAGTCAAAAACCTAATACTTTGATGCACACATACTGCTGGAGAAGCTCCATCCACCATGAGCCATGGAAAAATTACCCAAACATCAGAGATTGCAGGTGCAAACAATGTGATGATTCTCTTCAGCAACAATAAAGATTTAGTTCATTCACTCCAGCAAACAATCACTTGACTGTAACATTCCAGAAAAAGTTGAAAGGTTGAAAACAAATCACTGGTGGAAAAGATAAAACACCACTGTTAGATTTTCTCCCCCAGTTTTTTTTGTTGAAACAAATTACAAAATGGAATAGGAATACATAACTACTCAAATCAAATCAATCATAGACACATCATTCATCTTACCTTTACACCAGGATCTCTGCTTGTTCCAAAGTGTGCTACAATTAGATCAACAGCAGTGTTCACAGCCTTAACAAGACCTACCGTAATGAAGAAGTATGAGCAATACAGATATTATATTGGCAAGTGTTATACTGCATTTAAAAAAATATTTTCAATACAATTTGGAACAGAAAAATTTGTGTAACAAATGCTATACTAAGTTTAAATGCAATAGGTTCACAAACCTCAATCTATATGATTTAATTTATAGTAATTCCTTCCTTAGCACCCACATGAAATATTTTGGCTGCCAGTGACGCCATTCATTAAAAATATACAGTAATTATCAAAGCATCAGCCTAAGAAAAGCAAATTAAAATGTTCCCTATTCTGTATTCCACAATGTTCTTCACATTAATTTGTAACCATTTGAATGAAAATTCTAGGCAATTAATATTGTTCATTCTTGCACTAGTTGTATAGAAAGGATTTTCCCAGTCCGATTGATAACAGGAAATGCTTAACATGCTAATTTTTAGCATCTGGTCACCTAAGTGAGTGGTACAAAAACAGAAATTGCTGGAAAAGCTCAGCAGGTCTGGCAGCATCTGTGAAGAGAAATCAGAGTTAATATTTCGGGTCTGGTGACCCTCAACTTCTGTTTTTATTTCTGATTTACAGCATCCACAGTTCTTTCGGTTTTTAAGGGAGTGGTACACTTTGATAATATATATGAAACATGTTAATCTTGAAATACTGAATTTAGAATAACTCTGCTTTCAATAATGTGTATGCAATGTGACTGATGTCAAAAACTAAATTTTACCTTTTTTCTGAAGCAAATCTACGGAGATACTTTCTGTGGTACCATCAGGTGATAAACAGAATTCAGCAGGAGGTTTCTCAGCCAGTGAAAAGTAATCCGGAAAGAAATCACTGTAATAGCTCTGAAGTTGCTTCACAGATTGGCCTACAAAAACAGAGATCATATTATTTAATCCGTCATTAAATTAAATGCATTTTAATGCAAATAATATGCTTTATTAAACATTCTTCAACGAAATGCAATCTTTCCTTGCATCCCTCACTCCAATTCCAGAATTCACGGATATCTTGCATTGCCTGTTTTATCCACTAATTTAAGTGACTACTTAAAACTTTTATGCTTATGATATTTCTGAGTGCTGTACCTTTTCATGCTAGTAATGATCTCTATGAAGGCACTGGGGGAAATTTGCGGAATGCAATGCACAGGTATTATAAAATACAAGTGGAACTAGATGTGATTAATTCTGTTTGTTCATTCATGCTAAAATCATTCGTGGAATGTGGATATTGCTGGCAATGCAATTTATTGCCCATCTCTAGTTACCTTCAAGAAGGAGGCAGCAAGGCCTGCTCTTGAACTGCTTGGAACAGTGCTGTTCACATGTGCTTACTGGCTTTGTTCTACCACAAGGTAGCAGTGTTCAGTATGTGCTCTTAAAGAAGCTTTAGCAAGTTGGCTCACACTGGTGCCACTGGTAGTGGAGGATAAGATGCCAATCATCTTACTTTGCCCGCCCTGCCAAGCTTCATGTCTGTTGGAGCTGCACATTCAGTCAAGTGAAGAGTATTCCACCACACTGTGACTGATGATTTCTGACTTGTAGATGGTCGATTTTAATCAAAGTCATTAAAATAATAGAAGAAATAACCTCTATCTATACGGTTAGCTACTTGATCTGGACAGTTTGGGAAAGTTGGGAAACATAAATTCAAGTTATGAAAGATTGGCCAATACTTTGCTTTTTTTTAAACTCAATCATGGAATGTGGACAACCAAGGTAAAGCCAGCATTTATTGCCATTCTAACCAACAGTCAAGAAGGTGCTGCTGAGCATTTTGGAGGCATTTTGATTATTAAGGGTTGTCACTTGGTCTCCTAGCTTGCTGAATTACTTCAAGGATCAAAGAAGAACCCATTAAAGCCTAAAAACGAAACATGATCTATCTATCTATATTTCACTTTGGGATCTGAATTATCTGGTCATAACATCAGCTGGGATCATAACATCTAGGACACTACGTGATGAATACAGGTAATGCACGGGAACAGTGGGTATGTGGCATTGGAAATGAAAGTTATTATGTATAAACAACTTCTAAAAACAGTTGTCAATACAAGAGCCAGTCTTTGCCCATGCTTTCTCATGTGTTTGTAAATTGATGCTAAGATTTAACTTTGCAAAAAATTTAAAAGAAAATGTCATAAAGGACAGACTATTAATACTTCACAATGAATCTTCCACCTCCCATTATTGTCTTCAGCCAGATACCGTACTCCAGTGTCATTTTAAGAATAACTTTTGTTAGTCTGGCAACTGCCTGAAACAGGTGCCACTTAATGTGTTCTCAGGAGAGTGTCTTTGAAATGGAATTAAATGGTCAAGTAAATGTTTAGTGCCATTTACCTGAAAAGACTGGCTGTATTTGACAAATGTGGCTGGCATAACTACCAAAATTGGCTTACTTGATAATTATCTTAATGTAGTTGGGGAATTTTTTCCTTTTTGTTTCAACTCAAAATTGCATGTTTAGGGGTTCATGACCATGCATCGATGTCTTAAGTAGTATATTGGCACATCTGCTGTTGAGTGACTTGTTTGCCCTATGCTGATACTGTTATTATTGTTCAATTAATGATCATCAACACCCGGTCACATCTTACAGAACTTAGTTTAAGTCTTACCTAAATGCCATTCATATCAACATCCAAACCAGCAGACCCAAACCAGCAGTAATATTGTTTTTTAAATTAAAAATTTCCCTCCTTTTGGTTCAAAAATCATAATGAAGCAGTGTGTGTGTGTGTGTGTCTATATATATATATAGACACACACACATACATACACACACACACAAACACAAACATGTATATATATCATACACACACATTAATCTCCAAACTGATATTTCCAACGGATAAAAGCAGTGGATAGAAAGAAAAATATGTGGCCATGTATTGAGCAACGGTACTGGGGCAGAAGATATAAAGAAATAAGCAAGATTAAATTAGTTCTATAAACTGTAACGGCTATATATTCCAAAAGCACGAAACAGAACTGCACCATATAGCCTTGAGCGAATATGGTTAACACCACTTTTGCCAGAAAATTCCAGATAGGTTTTCTTCTTGATCATCCCAGGACCTGACTGTTTAGGATCCAAATTACAGCCAAATCCTTTTATACGGTCATGACCAAGGGGATTTCTTCTGCGATATTCTCTCCATTTGAGTGTCAGAGGTGCAATGTGATTAGCTAGAAAGTACAGTAGATGAAAAACTTAGAAGCGATAGAAAGATTTTGAGATTTAAATGCATTCTAGAATGCTTAAATATTATTCAAAATATTCTACTCCAATAATTTTGTATCAAACTAACAAATCACAATTCCATCAGAAAACATAATTCTGGTAAGTTGTTCAAGTTTACAGAATGACTACATTGCTTCCTGATCTGAAGTTATGGATACACTAGTAACATTATTTTAACTCAAGTTTAACTAACTTCATTTGACTTGCCTTTCCTTGTTTTAGGTATTTTCTTTTGAAAGATCCTCTTGCAATGACTGGAAAACTAAATTTACCATGTAATAAAAATTTAATTTTCATATACCTGTATTTTCATTTTGGTTTGCCTCTTTTCTTCTAGAAGTGAGACTCTTTCCAGATTTTAACACCAATTAGAATTGTAGAATCCCTTCAGTGTGGAAGGCAGCCACTCGGCCCATCAAGTCCACACTGACCCTCTGAACAGCGTCCCAACTAGACCCATGCCACCCCTGTAATCCTGCATTTGCCATGGCTAATTTGCCTAACCTGCACATCATTGGACTGTGGGAGGAAATCAGAGCACCCGGAGGAACCCCATGCAGACACAGGGAGAATGTGCAAACTCCACACAGACAGTCACCTGAGGGTGGAATTGAACCCCAGTCCCCGCCGCCATGAGGCAACAGTGCTAACTGCTGAGCCACCATGCTGCCCAATTAAATTTCATAAAATTTCTGCAATTAGATAAGCTACAAATTGCCATCAGTATCCAGGATACATCTACCGGCATATGGCTGAAAGCTGATGTTTTTAAGGTTGATAACTTCAAACATCACTTCTCAAAAAGAGTTCATAAAGATGTCTGTGAACTAGGCAATCTCATTTTACAAATGAGGAAGCAACCAACATGATATGCTAATATGAATATCAGAGTGAAAAATTAGGATAAGAGAAAGAAAATGCCTATCACAAGAATTTAATAATGCCAAGATCTTTATTTTCTATTTCCCTTGTATGAAGCCTTGCTTCCTTCAGCAAGTAGTTTGAGGTTGAATGGAGGTGAAATCTAAGCCAATGACATCGCTGATCACAAGCACTGCACCCGAGTAAATCAATAGAACATTTCAGATTACGGCAATTATAGCTCCAATCCATTTAGTTATTTTTAACAACATAAGTCAGTGTTTACCAGATGTGAAGCCTGATGCCACATGGTTAAACAGTGCTGCTTTTCCACTTCTGCTTTGGTTATCCTTATGATGGTCCAGATGACTGCTGACACCATTTGCTGTTACATTAGCAGATGTTGGCAACACAGTTTGATGGGAACAACAGGTGGAGCTCTGTCCAGTTTGAAAATTCCCTTGTTCTTTCTTTTGAGCTTCCTTGGGACTCTTTCTTTCATCTCTAATATGTTGAAGGTGAGCTTTGCTGGGTGAAACAACACCTTTTACTGGGGCAGATCGAATTGAAATGAGATTCGCAGATAAAGGACATGATCTACTTCTCGGGGGGTTGATTCCAAAATTTCTTTCTGGTGAGACAGCAGATGATGATAACTTTCCACTCTGCAAGATAGATGCATCATTTTTCACTGGTGAGTAACTGCCCAATGGTGATGGCCTAATTGCATCTGGTACAGGCCTCCGTGAGCAGTACTCACTTATGGGAGAAGAGTTCCTCTGTTTCTCATTCTCATCTGCCTTGAATCCATTCTGTGACTTGCCTACTGTTGCTATATTTTCCAATGACACCATACCACCAGAAGAACTAGATGTACCACTTGAATGTCCATTTGTTGTCAGCTGACTACTTGGAATACTGTACATACATGAAACAGAAGATGCACTATGGTTCTGAAGTGGCCGAACCCTGGGAATTTGTTTGCTCAATGGATGGTGGAGAATAAAAGGCTGAATGGGCAACGTAGTTGGGCGCTGTTCTTTACTGTAACGGATAACTGCATTTGCTTCTGATCCGCCACCTACATTACCATATGTAGACAAAGGACAGAGGGAATAGATGAATAAAACCAAAAACATTAGAGAAAGCAAGACAGATAGATTGTTTCTTCTCAGTGTCATAAACATGAGTTGTGTTAAAACTACATTATTTAACAGGAATTACAGAAGAAGTAATAGTTAAAAGAAGGAAAAGATAAAATGCAAGGAACAATTGATTTGACATAGCTATATCAAAACAGAGCTGAAATGACAACTCTATTGTCTATCTTTATATGTGTTACCTTCACTACATTAGCCCAGTCAAATTTAAAAAATACAACATCGCTTACAGTCGATATTCAACAGACAGTTTTCAATGCTGTGAGAAGATTGCATAAGGGCCAGGTAACACTTTGCAAACTACAACAAAAGCAAAAATTAACAACAGTAGCCCCATATAATGTACCTTTAGCGATTATGAAAAGGCATCAAGAGAAATTCAGGCAACAGAATCTGCATCATGGTGAAATGGGCATTAAGAAGGTAGAGGACCAAAATTAATAATTGAATGGTTGAACTCCAAGTAGTTCTGCTTGCAGCATTGCAAATAATGCAATTTTTATTCAATCATGTGATTTGGACATCACTGGCTGGCCAGCATTTATTGCCCATTCCTAGGTGGTGGGGAGCTGCCTTCTTGAACCGTTGCACTCCATGTGCTGTACGTTGACCCATAATACTATTAGGGAGTATATTCCAGCTTTTTGACCTAGTGACACTAAAGGAACAGCAACATATTTCCAAATCAAGATGATCAGAAGATTAGATAGGGTGGACAGTGGGAGCCTTTTTCCTCGGATGGTGGTGGCTAGCACAAGGGGACATAGCTTTAAATTGAGGAGTGATAGATATAGGACAGATGTCAGAGGTCGGTTCTTTACTCAGAGAGTAGTAAGGGCGTGGAATGCACGAAGTAGTAGACTCGCCAACTTTAAGGGCATTTAAATGGTCATTGGATAAACATATGGATGATAATGGAATAGTTTAGGTTAGATGGGCTTCAGATTGGTTTCACAGGTCGGCGCAACATCGAGGGCCGAAGGGCCTGTACTGCGCTGTAATGTTCTATGTCCTAAATCAGAATGGTGAGTGGCTTGGAGGGGGAGTTTGAACATAGTGGTGTTCCCATGTATTTGCTGCCCTTGTTCTTCCAGATGGAAGTGATTGTGGGTTCAGAAAACACTTCTAAGGATCTTTGGTGAATTTCTGCCATGCATCTTGTAGATTGTGCATATTGCTGCCACTGAACATCAGTGGTGAAGGCATGGATGTAATGCCAAACTAGCAGGCTGCTTTGTCCTGGATGGCATTAAGCTTCTTGAGCATTGTTGGAGATACCCCCATCCAGAAAAGTGAGGAGTATTCCATCACACTCCGGACTTGTGCCTTGTTGATGGTGGACTATTTTTCAGACTAGAGACCAGATTTGAATGAGAATTCAGGAAGCATGGTTGGTAAGTTTGCAGATGACACCAATATTGGTGGCATAGTTGACAGTGAAGAAGGCTATTTAAGATTATAAAGGGATCTTGATCAATTGGGTCAGTGGGTTGAGGAGTGGCAACTGGAATTTACTTTGGATAAGTGCATGGTGTTGCATTTTGGCCCAACCATCTTCAACTGCCTCATCAACGACATTCCCTCCATCATAAGGTCAGAAGTGGGGATGTTTGCCGACGATTGTACAATGTTCAGCACCATTCGTGATTCAAAGAACAAAGAAAATTACAGCACAGGAACAGGCCCTTCGGCCCTCCAAGCCTGCACCAATATGCTGTCAGTCACAACTAAAACCCCGGGGACCATATCCCTCTATTCCCATCATATTCGTATATTTCTCAAGACGCCCTTTAAAAGTCACTATCGTATCTGCTTCCACTGCTGCCCCCGGCAGCGAGTTCCACGCACCCACCACCCTCTGCATTAAAAACCTGCCTCATACATCACCTTTAAACCTTGCCCCTCGCACCTTAAACCTATGCCTCCTAGTAACTGATTCTTCCATCCTGGGAAAAAGCTTCTGACTGTCCACTCTGTCCATGCCCTTCATAATCTTGTAGACCTCTATCGGGTCCACCCCACAACCTCCATCACTCCAGTGACAACAACCCAAGTTTCTCCAACCTCTCGTCATAACTAATGCCCTTCATACCAGGCAACATTCTGGTAAATCTTTTCTGTACCCTCTCCAAAGCCACCACATCCTTCTGGTAGTGTGGCGACCAGAATTGAACACAATATTCCAAATGCAGCCTAACTAAGGTTCTATAAAGCTGCAACATTACCGACCAATTTTTAAACTCAATGCCCTGGCTGATGAGGGCAGGCATGCCGTTTGCCTTGTTGACTACCTTCTCCACCTGCTTTGCCACTTTCAGTGACCTGTGTACCTGTACACCCAGATCCCTCTGCCTATCAGTACTCTTAAGGGTTCTGCCATTTACTGTATATTTTCCATCTGAATTAAACCTTCCGAAATGCATTACCTCACATATTTCCGGATTAAAATCCATCTGCCATCTCTCTGCCCAAGTCACCAACCGATCTACATCCTGCTGTATCCTTTGACGGTCCTCATCATTATCCGAAATTCCGCCAACCTTTGTGTCATCCGCAAACTGACGAATCAAACCAGTTACATTTTCCTCCAAATCATTTATATATATTACAAACAGAAAAAGGTCCCAACACTGATCCCTGAGGAACGCCACTAGTCACAGCCCTCCATTCAGAAACACACCCTTCCACTGCTACCCTCTGTCTTCTATGACCGAGCCAGTTTTTTTATCTACCTTGCAAGCTCACCTCTGACCCTCAGATACTGAAGTTGTCTGTGTTCAAATGCAACAAGATCTGGACAATATCCAGGCTTGGGCTGACAAGTAGCAAGTAACATTCGTGCCATACAAATGCCAGGCTATGACCATCACCAAAAAGAGACAATCTAACCGCCGCCCCTTGACATTCAACGGTGTTGAATCCCCCACTATCGACATCCTGGGGGTTATCATTGATCAGAAACTCAACTGGACTCACCACATAAACACAGTGGCTACAAAGGCAGGTCAGAAGCTAGGAATACTGCGGCAAGTAACTCACTTCCTGACTCCTGAAAACCTGTCCACCATCTACAAGTCAGGAGCGTGACGGAATACTCCCCACTTGCCTGGATGAGTGCAGCCCCAACAACACTCGAAGCTTCACACCATCCAGGACAAAGCAGCCCACTTGATTCGCATTGCATTCGCTCCCTCCACCACTGACACTCAGTAGCAGCAGTGTGTACTATCGACAAGATGCCCTCAAGAATTCACCAAAGATCCTCAGATAGTTCACAACCATTTCCATCTGAAATGACAAGGGTTGCAGCTCACCACCGCCTTCTCAAGAGCAACTAGGGATAGGCAATAAAGGCTGGCCAGCCAGTGATGCCCACATCCCACAAAAGGAATTAAAAAAGAACAGAATAATATTTAAATGCAAAAACAGCAGAAAGCTGCAGAAAAAAGGGATTTGAATACATTTGCATGAAATACAGAAAGCTTGCACATGGATGCAGCAGGTAATTGGAAATACTAATGGAACGTTGGTCCTTATTTCAAGGGGATTGGAGTAGAAGAAAAGAGAAATCTTACTCGACTGTACATGGTGTTAATGAAACAACAACTGGAATACTGTGAGCAGGTTTTGTTCCCCATTATAAAGAAAGGTATCGTTTCATTGAAAACAATTCAGACAAAGCTCACTAGGAAGATCCCTGTCATGGACAGATTGCCTCATGAGCAAAGGCTAAATAGGTTAGGATTCTACTCATTGAAGTTAAGAAGAATGGCACGTGATCTTATTGAAACATATAAGATTCTTAAGGGGCTCAGCAGGGTACATATTGAGAGGATGTTTCCCTTCATGGGAGAGTCTAGGACTAGAGGGCATAGTCTCAGAATAAAGGGGCACCAATTTAAGACTGAGATGACGAGGAATTTCTTCTCTCAGACAGTTGAGAGTCTTTGACACAGCCAGCTGTGGGGACTGAGTTCTTTTGTATATTTAAAACTGAGATAAATAAATTTTAGGTCAGTAGGAGAATCAAGGGTTATGGGGAGAACATATGAAAGAGGACATGAGGATGTTAGAGCGGCCATGATCTTATTGAATGGCAGAGGAGGATTCAGGAGTCAAACAGCCTTTTGTTGTTCCTATTTCTTATGGTCTTATGGACTGGAGGGCAGCTGATGTGGTTCCACTTTTCAAGAAGGATGGTAGAGGTAAACCAGGGAAGGAGATAACTCTGCAAAGCGTGAGTTGATGCACTTTGTAAGAAGTAATAAGACAAGGGAGTACTCAATGAATGGTAGGTCACTGTGAAGCTCAGAAGAACAGCAGGATCTTGGGGTGCTTGTCCAAAGATCCCTGAAGGCAGCAGGACAGGTTAAAAGGGAAGTTCAGATGAAATACCAAACACTTGCCTTTAACAAAAACAAAGTTGCTGGAAAAGCTCAGCAGGTCTGGCAGCATCTGTGGAGGAGAAAACAGAGTTAACGTTTCGGGTCCAGTGACCCTTCCTCAGAACTGATGGTGCCTGGGAAAACGTCAGTTTATATAACTCTGTTTTCTCCTCCACAGATGCTGCCAGACTTGCTGAGCTTTTCCAGCAACTTTGTTTTTGTTCCTGATTTACAGCATCTGCAGTTCTTTTGGTTTTTACTTGCATTTAACAGTTGTGGCACAGATTTTAAGAGTAGGGAGATTACATTATAGTTGTACAAAACTTTGCATACAGTACTCCAGCTGTCGCTTAACCAATTCTAGTCATCACATTATAGGAAGGATGTGTATGGACTGGAAGGAGTGCAGAGGAGATTCAAAGGATGTTGTCTAGGATGGAGCAGTTCAGCAATGAAGAAAGGCTGGATTAGTTCAGGCTGTTTTCTTTAGAGAAGAGAAAGCCAAAAGGGGACCTGATAGATGTATATAGGATTGT